AAATCGGCTGCTTTACTGTTGACTTTATCTGTTAACCTCCCGGTTTGAAGGTTTCTCTATAGTCCTAACAGGTGTGCTTTTCTTCTTCAGCTTCGCCATCAGTTATCTGTCAGTGCTTTAATGCGCCGAGTGCGTCTGTGACAAAAACCGTGCAAAGAAGCGTTCAAACCTAAAACCGACATTTCTCCTTTACTTTAAGCTGATGCGCTGCAATGACGGCAACTAAAGCTGAAATGGAATTAATAAAAACTATGTAGGCATTAAAAAACGAACTGAAATGAGTTGACGTTGAAGCACTAAAGTTGCACTGAACTGGAAAATAAGCCTAAAGCTGAAAAAAAAATAATGATAATAAAAAAAAAAAAGACAAAAACTCACAACAAAATGAATTTTAAAAATAACTAACGTTAAAATAAAAACAGAGCATTTTAAAATAATGCTAAAATCTGTAATCGCATCTCAGTGATATTGAAAAAGTGTTAATTGAAATGAATGTTAACTCTGAAATCAAAATATAAAACAATTTAAGCATTTTATTTCAGCTATTTGCCGAGGCAACATCTCTTATTTTCATCTAGTTTAAATTGAAGTGAAATTAAAACTGAAATATAGACATTTAATGAGTTTAAGTTGAATGACTAAAATAACTAACTAGAAAAAAGTGACCCTGGAGCACAAAAGCAGTGTTAAGTCGCTGGGGGATATTTGTAGCAATAGCCAACAATACATTGTATGGGTCAAAATTATAAATTTTTCTTTTATGCCAAAAATCATTAGGATATTAAGTAAAGATCATGTTCCATGAAGATATTTTGTAAATCTCCTACCATAAATATATCAAAACTTAATGTTTGATTAGTAATATGCATTGCTAAGAACTTCATTTGGACAACTTTAAAGATGATTTTCTCAATATTTAGATTTTTTTGCACCCTCAGATTCCAGATTTTCAAATAGTTGCATCTCTGCCAAATATTGTCCTATCATAACAAACCATACATCAATGGAGAGCGCATTTATTTTTAGAAATCTCAATTTCATAAAATGGACCCTTATGACTGGTTTTGTGCTCCAGGGTCACATATGTTCGGATAGTAATATTAAAAATAACAACAACGACAATAATTTATTTGCACTCATTTACACTGAATAAATAAACTGAAATAAAAACATATATAGACGTTCTAAAAAGCTAGCTGAAATAGGTTCAAGGTGAAGCACTAAAATAACTAACTGGAAACAAATTTTAATCAAAAACTGACATTTAAAAAATAATAAAATTGTAATATTAAAAATAATAAAAATGACAAAGCACAACAAAATTAATGCACATTTAATATTAAAATATAAAAAATAAAACATAGGGATAAAAACAGAGATGCTAAAATAACGCTGCATTGCAGCAGCAGATGCATTGTGCCATTATTTATGAGGTTTACGCAGAAGGCTGATGTGATGTGTTACTAGCACAAACGCAATGCACGTAATCCTTGCTGTGTTCATGTTGTGCTGCTGAAGGACGCACAGGTACACTAGATACCGTCATCCACACACTCGCTCTAACTGTATGCAAATGTGTCGCGAGAGAGCATGCGCCGAGCTCTCTGAGCCGAACCGTACACACGTCAAACAGTCCACGCCGCCAATGCACACTCATTTGCATGTTCCTCTGAGCGCTGGCCTGCTCAGACATGAAGAAGGGCACCGCGTTCGACTGGAAAATGTCTCTGTTTGTCACGTGAACCACGCCCGCTGGACACAAACACAGCCAAGAGTCCTCAAATCTCTTCAAATGTTTCCAGTGCTTCGGCAATCTCGAGACTTCTTGCAATGCAATCTGAATCAGGGTTTGAGGAATATATGGTGGATTTGTTCGAATTGGGTTGAAATGATATTTTGCATCACTCCTATTGCTTTATTTCACCATCAGGCATCATTTGGACAGGGTTAGGGCTAAAATGTTATTTTGATTGCTTCCATTTGTAGTCCATCTGCTAAATGATTAAATGTAAAATGAATCAGGCCTACTTCTTAATAAAACACATGATAAGTAATAGCCTACATCTTAATGCATACATGCGTTCATTCATAATATGAGGATGTTGAAACTCATTTTCATGCTTAAAGGGACAGTTCACTTAAAATGAAAACCCTGTCATTGTTTACTCATTATGAAAAGATCATTTGAAGAATGTTGGGAACCAAACAGCTGACGGTAGCCATTGATTTCCATGTATGGAAAGGAAGTCAATGGCTACCGTCAACTGTTTGGCTACGCACATTATTCAAAATACCTTCTCAAGAGACAAACTCATACAGGTTTGCAATCATTTGAGAGTTGGGTATACATGATGACGGGGTTTTTATTTTTGGGTGAACTGTCCCTTTAAGAACACTTTTGTAAATGCAAAGTCACACTGATGAAAATGAAGCATGAACACTGTCGATTAAAGAGCGCCATCTTTACATTCATTCCAGTGTTTTTATTTATTTCTAACATCTCGCTGACTACAGTTCAGTCTGTTGGCAGAGCAGCGCTGTGACGTCACCGTATGCAAATCAGGCGAGCCGAAGAACACGCCCACACCTGTTCCCTTGTGTCCTCTATCTGTTCTTCACCGCTGCTTTCTCCACATACACAAATGTTTCATGTGTATAAATCAGTTCACATTCTATACTTTATCCGCACTTTATTTTTACAGGTTCGTGTTTGGATTGTGTGTAGCTTATGTGTGTTCCCTCAGAATCATTTCAATGCTAGTGAACCCTGAATCGTCTATGCAAATGACTAATAAACAACTTGACTTCAGCAATGATTTTAGGCATGATAAAGAAAATGGAAACAACTGCATTTAATTCATTTTTATTGCAAGTGAAATAATTGTAATATTCACATGAAGTCTAGAAGTGCTTTATTTAGTGTTCAGTGTGTGTGTAGCTTATGTGTGACTGCTGTAGATAACAGAAAAAGAAGCTATTTTCTGTGAATGTGCGAGACTTCCGGTTCATTAGCCGCTATCGGTAAATAACTAAAAGAAAAACAAAGTACAGTAAACGGTAAAACTATTTGCACTACAAACCAGTGTGTTTGCGATTATGATAATGCATTAAAATAATATGATTTTTTTTTTTAAATACCAGTTTGCACTATCGAGCAGCGTAATGGACTGTTTTGGTATCGCTAAAAAAGAACCGGAAGCCAATGATACCGGAAGTCTCGCACATTCAAAGTACAAACGCACGCGCAATATTTGCGTTAAAAATAAGGCTGTGATTGGAGAGAGTTGACATTTGTTTGTATATTTTAGTGTTTTGCATTACAGATATGTTGTATATAAGCAAGTGTTTTCCAGTTTAGCTTATCTGTTCACTAGTGACACTTACACAAAACATCCACAAGAGCTCGAGTCAAACATCATCATCCGGTTATTTGGAGACATTCAAGTTCACGAAATTAATAACTGTATCAGATCTGCTGATCATTCATGCATTATAAGCTCATACTTCAGAACAGAAACCCGCGTTTTGATCACTGATGATCAATCTACCAGTGAGCGTTAGGTTTCCTCAAAGTTATGATTCCTCTGTAATGTTCTTTATCTGGTCTCAATGATCTCAAAACATTAGCACAAAGACGGTATTCATATATTGTTAATGGATTGTTTGATTCCTTAAATGTTTCAGTTGGACGTTCATCTAACATTTTTTAAATGTTACTAGTTTCAGACCTTTCAAAGAACATTCAAAAGTAACGTTCCCATAATTTCGGAAAATTCTAAAATGGAATGTTTATTCACATAACAAATAAACGTTTTTAAAAACTTGTTCTCATAACTCAAAACCTTCTCGGAGCATATTTTTGTCAGCTGGGTTGCATTATAAATGTTGGATGTCTACAGGTGTTTTCCCAGATCCGTGTATCTGTTCAGTAACTAGTGACATTTACAGAAACCCTCCACAAGAGTTCAGCAAAGAGCCCGAGGCAGACACAACTCTGTTCATCACAACTTGCTCATTTGGAGACTTCTGTAATAGAATAGAGATACAAGTACTGATCAGCGTTTGTCAGACCTCACAGAAAACAGGGAACGTTCTCATATGGAGATAGAGTTGTTCCTTAATTCCAAATAAATAGATTATGATCCACAAATAAATGTAACAAAAATAAACATATTGACAAATAAATGGAATGAGATCCACAAATAAATCGAGCGAGCGATTCACAAATGAATAAAGTTGTGACATAATTAGCCTATATATTTGTGAATATGATTTTTATTTGCCGATCTCATTTTATTTATTTGTCGATTTAATTGTTTGTGAAACTCTAAGATTTATTTGCGGATCTCATTCTATGTCAGTGTTTATTTTTATTTTTTTTGTTAATCTCTTTACATTTATTTGTCATAATCTATTTATTTGGAATTAGGCAACAATTCTATCTCCGTATTCTCAGAACGTTCTGGCAAGGCTGTCTATAATAGTAATAAAACCTTTCAAAGTTATCGGACTTTTAATGATGTTCTCAAAACGTTATACACTGTAATTATAGGCCTACATCGTTAATGGAAGGTTTCTGAAGTATTTTAGTTGGACGCTCATCTATGATTTTGAAATGTTTCATAACGTTCAGAGAACATTCAAAAGTAACGTTCTCATATGTTCGCGAAAATAGCATCAAATGGAAAGTTCCCTTAAAACGTTGCTGTTGAATGCTAAGAAAACATTCAGAAAACGTTTTCATAACTTAATGGGAACGTTAGCAATACGCTCGTAGAATATATTTTGTCGACTGGTCTGGTTTTGTTAATGTTTGTTAATGGCTGTTAATGTCTCCCTCATCACACTTCCGCTGTTTATTATTAAGCTGATATTGTCAGGTGTGTGTGTGTGTGAGAGTGAGTGTGTGTGTGTGTGTCCAACATCCAGAGCGGGCAGAAGTTGAGCAGCAGGGTTGAACCTCTGGAGATCACTCTTGTCAGTCAGTTCAGTCCTCAGTTATTCCGTCATTCGTGTGTTCTCAGATGATACGTGTTTGTTGAACTGTTCATGAAGTGTGTTTGATTGCGTGTCCCTCTTTAAAACCAGGAAATGTTTGATGTTGAGCGGATGTTGAGTTTCTCTCTCTGTATCTTCATCAGCAGCGCGGGTGAGATCGAGCTCCATCAGTAATGAGGTGAGTCAAAACTACGGCATATTTCACTCAAAATCTGTCTCATAAACTCCGTGTGAGTTTGATTAAATCTTCAGACTGTAATATACCTGATGACTGTGTAAATATGAGCTGTTATTATGAACTACAGAAGAAACTTCAGGCGTTAATTTTTTTTAGATATTTCTAACTCGCATCAGCGATTGCTTTCCAAATTTCAGCGCAGATGTCTGGTGTTTTTCATTGTAACTCCAGAGACTGAGCATCTTTTCAGATAAGCATCGTTGAGCTCAGGTCAGAAGTGCGTTCAGTTCTTCATCATCATCATCATCGTGAGGAGCTCAGGGACGAAAAATGTGACTTATACTGATGGGGCAGAAATATAATTGTGTTTTAGTGATCTCATGCGGATTCACTGTCGAATTCACCAATCTGTGAGTGAGTTCATCTTAATGATAATGAATCATTGAATTTCTGTCTCAGTTGAACTTTCATCTGCTTCCTGCTGTGCTCTCCATCATTGAGGAAGTGAAGCAGCAAACTCACACTCGAGGGAACTAGTTAACTCTGCTCTTCCTGCTAGTTTACCATCTGTCTGTGTGAAAGATGACTCTGAACACACACATATAATACTCTCTAACATGAGTCAAGTCACATTTATTTCTATAGTGCTTTATACAGTACAGTTTGTGTCAAAGCAGCTCAAAACAGGAAAACAACAGTGTCAAGTGTTGCAAAATCCATCAGTTATGAACAGTGTTGGGCAAGTTACTTCCAAAATGTAATACATTATATATTACTAGTTACTGTCTTTTGAAAGTAATTAGTTACATTACAATATTACTGTCTCTGAATTGTAATGCATTACACTACTTTTGAGTTACTTTTGAGTTACTTTCATCCAAAATATCCACATAAGTATTGTAAAATGCCAAAATGTAGTTTATTGCTGCTCATTATACATCCAGTCACTCTCACAATTTTCTCTAACGCTTTTAAACGTTATATAAATGTTCAGACAAAATGTTTATGGAACGGTCTTACCTTATTAATATTCAATATGCATTGTCAAAGTTGAGGAAACACACTCTGAGGTCATCGTTCTTGAAATGTTCTTATGATGTTTGTACTTGATGAACATTCTAAGAAATGCTTTTTTGTAACCTTAAAATAACATTCTAATCACGACATGAAAACTGGACATTGTAACATTCTAGAAACATTTCAAAGCAACATTTTTACAACCTAAATTTACTGTCATCAGAGTAATAATATTACAGTAGTATATTACTTTTTGCTGTAACGCAGTAATATAACGCATTACTAATCAAATTTGGGTAATATTATTACTCGTTACAATCTCAGTAACGCAAGTTACAACAACATATTTTAACTCAAAATTAAGTGGTGAATTTACTAACACCGCAAAACAGCACCAGAGAAAAACATCCGCGGGTAAAATAGTTTGTCTATATTCTGTTGCTGGAATTAGATGGTTGAGATGACTAACTCAAAAGTAGTGTAATGCATTACAATTCAGAGACAGTAATATTGTAATGTAACTAATTACTTTCAAAAGACAGTAACTAGTAATATATAATGTATTACATTTTGGAAGTAACTTGCCCAACACTGACTGTCATTATTCAAATCAACTCATTTCAAGTTTTATTCTCATCTGATAGTTTCAGTGCCATCAGATCAATAATAATACTGAATATTAATATAAAAAGTCTTTAAACCCAACTAAGCAAGCCAAAGGCAACCGTGGCGAAGAACGAGACGTTTCTAGCATGGCTTTTTAGGCATTGTACCGAGGTAACATCAAAGGAAAGAAGCAAATATCATAGTCTATGAGTATGGCAATCCCTCAGTAACATGATATATGTCAAAGTGCCTTGATATTACCATCTGATCTAAAGTGTGATCACAGTACACTCTCATTTGTGACTTTTTTGAGTTTGTAAAAATGGAGGAAGTTTTCCGTGTGTGGGTTATAGAGGTAGATTCTAGTATTAATAACTAGCTGTATAAAAACCCCAATAGAAGTCCATGTCCTCATTTGTGTTTGACTGTATGGATCATTTGAAGTGTGTTGAGTCAGTGTTTGTTCATCAGTGAGTATAGTTTGAATCTGTCTGTGTGTGCAAGGTTTACAGTCAGTCATCAGACGCTTCTCACCGTCTCAGACAGAAATACACTGCTGATCTCTGATCTCGTCGAAGCAGCGGAGCCTGACCATTCATTTCGTTTGCATACACTTTAATAAATAATCCGAGACAAGAGTTTAGGATTCATGAATCCAAGAGAAACCCAATGAAGGAACGTGTGATCAGGAGTATTTATCCAACTAGCAGAGAACCTTCTCATAACTTTCACTAACGCTTTTTAAAAGTTCTTGTAATGTTGAGAGAAAACATCCTGCGGTCAGCATTCTCAGAACGTCCTTTTGATGTTATTTGCACTTGATGAACGGTTTAAGAAATGTTTTTTGTAACCTTTTAACACATCATGAGTCAAGAAAACTGGATGTTTTTACAACTTTTTTTTTTCTTGGTTATTGTGAACGTTAAGGAAACATTCGATTTGATCATTTGTGGGAACGTTACTTTTAATTGTTCTGAAACAAGCTGTTACATTTAAAAAACAGTAGATGAACAGTCAACTATAACTAATCACTATATAACCAGTCACTTTATATATATATATTAGTGCTGTCAAACGATTAATCGCAATTAATCGCATCCAAAATAAAAGTTTTTGTTTACATAATATATGTGTGTGTATTGTGTATATTTATTATGTATATATAAATACACACACACACGTATATATTTAAGAAAAATAAGTTACGTTTACATATTAAATATATTTATATATAATATAAATTATATGAATATAAATATATACATGTAAGTATTTTAAAAACATATGCTGTATGTGTGTGTCTTTATATATACATAATAAATATACACAGTACACACGCATATATTATGTAAACAAAAACAAAAACAAAAGTTTTTGTGCTAATGTTTTGAGAACAGTATTAAAGAACGGCTAACTTTGATAACGAATGTTCATCACTTTGAGAGAAGCGTGCCGGAGCGTTTCCTGTCATCTGGTTAGTGATGTGCGATGGTGTGCTCCTGGTTCAGTGTGATTGATTGTCTTTCTGTGTTCTCACCTCTGATCAGAGCATCAGGGCAATGACACGACTCAGTCCTCTATTCAGCTGCACTTCTGCTCTTCTGCTTCCTCTTACCGTCTCTTATTGCTCTCACTTCCACTTCTCAACACATTTAAAGCCCGTGTTCAGCCGACGGAACTTCATAATGTTCTGTGACCCCCAAAACAAAACATCAGGGATCTTTTCTCTTCACAAACATCACGCTTGAGTCTCAGTGTGTTTGAATCAGTGGATGTTTGTGCATCTTTACTGTAACTGGAATGACTCTCGGTCAGATGCAGGTGTGATTGTGGTGTTTGATTTGTTAGTAATTGATCGGAGATGAAGCTGTTGTATTTGAGAGGAAGTCAAAGTATTGTGTCACGTTGTTTAACTGAGAGTGTTGCACAGGAGGACAGACAATGTTTCCCACATCCTCTCGCACACACACACACACACACTCACACACACACACACACACACACACTCACCCACTCACACACACACACTCACACACACACACACACACACACACTGCTGCACAATAAATGTGTCACATGCGCATGCGTGTGCTCAAAGCGCGTGTGATCAGTTTCTATATGTGTGAACATGCTGCTATTTCATGTCTTATTTTTGGACAATCAGCTTCACACCTCAGATGCTGAAAGATGAAACTGTACAGTTGTTCTCTTAAGCAGATGGTTTTTTTTCTTTTATCTCATTTGACTTGTAAAATTACTTTTTTTAATGCCTTTCATCAGTACTTTTGTCATTTTCCAGTAAATCTAAGCATTCTTAAATGCCTCATTCATTCATTATTTTTTATTTTATTTATTTAATTTGTTTAGTTAACAGGGACATTGTACATTAATAAAACATTTCTGTAACAATGTAGCACTGGAAAAAAAACATGTTATTAAAGCATGTGGTTCACTTACAAACGTGTAAGCAAGCAAGTAGACAGCTCGTTATCCTTTTAAGATATTCACTCAATATAATTACGACCCAAATGAACACAGAGACCTCAATACTTGGTACACCATACACAATGACAGTAACAATCAATGGATCGTGTTTGAGTATGAATGGGTCATTTTGAGTAGAAAGATGTAACAAAACAGTAAGTTATTAAACCTAACAACCAAAGCACTCATAAAACAGTGTAAATACAACTCGAAAACGGTGAAAAATGTAACCTTTTTAATTTTTCATGCCCCAGTGCATGATGGGAAAAGCGGGATCATAACTTTGATATTTTCTTGAATCCTTGCAAACGTAACAAACAATTCCAAGTAAAATATCAAAGTTATGATCCCGCTTTTCCCATCATGCACTGGGGCATGAATAATTAAAAGGTTACATTTTTCACCGTTTTCGAGTTTCACCGATTCCAAAAATAATCAATAATCAATTAAGCTGTTTTGCTCTTTCACGTCACACTTTTTTTTTTTTATACAAAATATGACACATTTCGTTTGTGTGAAGAAGCCCCCTTAATCAGCAGAAAAACACCACAAACTCATGATTCCTGTCTGAATCTGAGCCAGATTACAACTATTTGCTCATATTTTCACAGGTATGACATTATTTGATGCCTGATCCTGATTTCATTGTCAGAATTATGGCTGGTGCAAAATATGAACCTGGTGATTTCTGCTGCATCTGTGGGTGTTTTTGTGAAAAAGCATATTTTATAAAGTACTTTTATATTAAGTGGATCATTTGAACATGTTTTTACACTCGTTTGCAAATTTTAAGTTAAATGATATATTCTGAATACTTCTTTTATAATTTTGAGAAACTTTTGGCATTTGACTCCTTTTGTTATTTTGATAAGTGCATTAAAGCTGATACATGTATATAATTTGAAAAATTAAAAGTTTTTCTTGCTATTTCCAAACTCAGCATCATCAAATTAGGTAATATTAGGCCTTTTTTGCAAATCAGCAGAATTTTGTGTTATCAGACTTTTAAAAGAAAAAGTTTTTAAGTCTTTTACGTGTGATCAGACCATTTTTAAGTGTTTTAAATGTTATCAGAAGTGTTTACGTGTTATCAGGTAGTTTTTACATGTTTTAAGTGTATTTTTAAGTGTTATCATACAGTTTTAAGTGTTTTTAACATTATCAGACAGTTTTACGCATATTTAAGTGTTATCAGCCAATTTTAAGTGTTACTTTAAGTGCGTTTTAAGTGCTATCAGACCGTTTTTAAGCATTATCAGACGGTTTTTAAGTGTTGCTTTAAGTGTTTTTAAGTGCTATCAGACCGTTTTTAAGTGTTTGTAAGTGTTTTTAATTGTTATCAGACTATTTTAAGTGTTATAAGACCATTTTAAGTGTTTTAAATGTTATCAGACAGTTTTTAAGTGTTTTAGTATGTGTTATCAGATAGTTTTTAAATGTTTAAGTGTTTTAAGTGTTATCAGACAGTTTTAAGTGTTGTAAGTGTTTTTTAAACCTTATCAGACAGTTTTAAGTGTTATTTTAAGTGGTTTTAAATGTTTTTAAGTGTTATCAGGCAGTTTTTAAATGTGTTTGTGTGTTTTCAAGTGTTATCAGACAGTTTTAGGTGTTTTAAGTGTTTTTAAGCCTTATCAGACAGTTTTAAGTGTTTTTAAGTGTTATCAGACAGTTTTTAAGTGTTATTTTAAGTGGTTTTTAAATGTTTTTAAGTGTTAACAGGCAGTTTTAGATGTTTTAAGTGTTATCAGTTTTTAAGTGTTATTTTAAGTGTTTAAGTGTTATCAGACAGTTTTAAGTGTTTTTTAAGCATTATCAGACATTTTTAAGTGTTTCTAAGTGTTATCAGACAGTAAAGTGTTATTTTAAGTGGTTTTTAAAGGTTTTTCATGTGTTATCAGACAGTTTTAAGTGTTTTTAAGCGCCAGCAGACAGTTTTAAGTGTTTTAAGTGTTATCAGAGTTTTTAAGTGTTTTAAGTGTTTTCAGACAGGTTTTTCAACGTTTTAAGTGTTTTTTAAGCCTTATCAGACAGTTTTAAGTGTTTTTTTAAGTGTTATCAGACAGTTTTAAGTGTTATTTTAAGTGGTTTTTAAAAGTTTTTAAGCGTTACCAGGCAGTTTTTAAATGTTTTTGTGTTTTCAAGTGTTATCAGACAGTTTTAAGCGTTATCAGACTGTTTTAAGTGTTTTAGATGTTTTTAAGCATTATCAGACAGTTTTAAATTTTTTAAAGTGTTATCAGTTTTTAAGTGTTATTTTAAGTGTTTTAAGTGTTATCAGACCGTTTAAATGTTTTTAAGCATTATCAGACATTTTTAAGTGTTTCTAAGTGTTATCAGACAGTTTTAAGTGTTATTTTAAGTGGGTTTTAAAGGTTTTTCATGTGTTATCAGACAGTTTTAGGTGTTTTAAATGTTTTTAAGCGCCATCAGACAGTTTTAAGTGTTTTAGGTGTTTTTAAGTGTTATCAGAGTTTTTAAGTGTTTAAAGTGGTTTTTAAGCATTATCAGACAGTTTTAAGTGTTTTTTAAGTGTTATCAGACAGTTTTAAGTGTTATTTGAAGTGGTTTTTACCAGGTTGTTACCAGGCAGTTTTTAAATGTTTTTGTGTGTTTATCAAGTGTTCTCAGACAGTTTTATTTTATTTTTTAAGTGTTATCAGACAGTTTTAAGAGTTATCTGATGGTTTTTAAAAGTTTAGTGTTTTTAAGTGTTATCTTGTTTTGCTTTGAGTTCCCATTGACAGTTATTTGTTCTTGTTTTAATCATAAACTCACTTAATTTTGATCAGTTTCTCAGAAAACCAGACTTCATATTTTAAGCCATTGTGTATCTCCAGTAAATGTATCTTAATTTATGAAATCTTAAGTATTCATAAATACTGAGGAAGAGCATCACTGTTTGCCGTGTGTAACTAATGTCGTCAGGTTGATTCTGTCTGTCATGTTTTACTGTATGAAGTGAAGCACAGCTGCAGATTTGCTGACTGAAGTCTCTGTACGGTATGTGATTTTCATGTTTTGCAGTGAACAAAGCATCTGTCAGGCGCGGGCCACCGTCATGATGTACGATGACGGCAGCAAGCGCTGGTTACCGGCCGGTTCTGGCGCTCAGGCCATCAGCAGGGTTCACATCTTCCAGAACCCCAGTAACAACAGCTTCAGGGTGGTGGGACGCAAACAACAGGCTGATCAGCAGGTAACTCTCACTTATGCCATTAAAAACTGTTTAATGTGTGAGACGAGATTAGACAAGAAGTTTAGTGTATGTGTGAAGCCACAGCATGAGGGAGAAGGAAGTGTGTGTGTGTCTGTGTGTGTGTGTGTGTGTGTGTGTGTGAAGGATGTTGTCATTGCTGTGAATGTGCATGCTGGGCATCATGGGAAAGTGGCGTGTTATGTGCCGTCCCAGCAGCCGCAGATCTCGGTGGTTTATCTCAGAGACACTTCAGTCTCACAGCTTCTGAATTGTCTCTCGTTTCCTGTAAATCATGTCAGTGTGGCGGTTCACTGCTGTCTGCTGCACAACACCACAAACACTGGACAGTTCATCAGCCAATCATTCTGCTGCATTCAATAGATTCAGACCTCAGTGTCAGAAAGGAAAACATAATTATGAGTGGAGTCTACATCCCTGCTAATGGTGGGAGATATTGTGGGGGGAAAAAATAAAACTTAATAAATTTTAAAATGTAAAAAAATTAATTTCATAAAACAATATGTATTTTTTATTTACTTGTCCTAATATTTATTTATTCATTTCTGTCCCTCTGTGAATATACAGTATTTATTTGTTTGTTTCTTTATTCCTCTGTGAAATTTTATTTATTTTGTTATTTGTCTCTCTAAGAAACATAATATAATATGTTTTTATTGATTTTCTTTATTTATCTTTCTGAGAATATCCAATATTGATTGATTTATTTGTTTGTTTGTTAGATACTGTTTATTTATTTATTATTATTTATTTATTCATTCATTCATTTGTCCCTCTAATTATGGATATATATATATATATATATGTTGTCCATCTGTTAATATCCAATATTTGTTTGCTTGTTCCTCAGAGATTGTAATTTTATTCATTTATTTATTTGTTTGTTCATCCATTCATTAATTTCCCCCTCTGATAATATTTAGTATAATATTTTTATTTATTTATTTATTCATTAATTTGTTTGTCTCTCTGACGTTATATCATTTTTATCTATTTATTCATCAATTCATCCAGCCCTTTGAGATCGCACACTGCTAGTTTTATGGCCAGAGCTGCTGGTTCCCGTGAGTGTTGTGTGTGTGTGTGTGTGTGTGTGTGTGTGTGTGTGTGTCTGTTTGATGAAGATCTGATTCCTGTCTGTCATCCGTGTGTCTCTTCAGGTGGTCATTAACTGTCCTCTGGTCCGGGGGATCAAATATAACCAGGCCACTCCTACGTTCCACCAGTGGCGCGATGCGCGGCAGGTCTGGGGTCTGAACTTCGGCAGTAAAGAAGACGCGGCTCAGTTCGCCAGCGGCATGACGCACGCGCTCGACGTGCTGAGCGGAGATGCCGGTGAGAGCTCTTAGGGAAAAAAACGTGTTTTTAGGAGTAAAATGTGCTATAAATCAGTGTGAGTGACATATCAACAAACCTTCAGAACACAGAGAGGAATAAAACTATGAAGGCTTGTGTGTGTGTAAGAGAAAAAATCTTTAAAGATATGGATTGGAATTGAAATCTACAGACGCAAATAGATAAAAAGCAGTAAAATGTGTATTTAGTATGTTTTCTTTCCTCTAGTCTGAAAGAAGAGACATGATATGCAAGCAAAATAGACCAAAAAGTGACCAATGCATGAAAACACACTGGTTTGTCTGTAGTGTCTCGCCATAAAACATGTAAAAACACCTGTATGTGTGTGTGTGTGTGTGTGTGTGTCTGTGTCTGTTTGATGAAGATCTGATTCCTGTCTGTCATCCGTGTGTCTCTTCAGGTGGTCATTAACTGTCCTCTGGTCCGGGGGATCAAATATAACCAGGCCACTCCTACGTTCCACCAGTGGCGCGATGCGCGGCAGGTCTGGGGTCTGAACTTCGGCAGTAAAGAAGACGCGGCTCAGTTCGCCAGCGGCATGACGCACGCGCTCGACGTGCTGAGCGGAGATGCCGGTGAGAGCTCTTAGGGAAAAAAACGTGTTTTTAGGAGTAAAATGTGCTATAAATCAGTGTGAGTGACATATCAACAAACCTTCAGAATACAGAGAGGAATAAAACTATGAAGGCTTGTGTGTGTGTAAGAGAAAAAATCTTTAAAGATATGGATTGGAACTGAAATCTACAGACGCAAATAGATAAAAAGCAGTAAAATGTGTATTTAGTATGTTTTCTTTCCTCTAGTCTGAAAGAAGAGGCATGATATGGAAGCAAAATAGACCAAAAAGTGACCAATGCATGAAAACACACTGGTTTGTCTGTAGTGTCTCGCCATAAAACATGTAAAAACACCTGTATGTTTAGAGTTTTTGATTTGTGTCCACAGGTGCGTGTCCTCCTCCTCCTCGACCGCCTCCGAACGGCCCGAGCGCTGAGGAGATAGAGCAGAAGAGGAGGTACAAACATCATCATCATCTTCTTTATCATGACATGGAAATCAGCCCTGATTTACCTCATTTATTCTGCATAAATCAGAGTTTGCCTTCATTTGAACTTTCTATTCATCTGTGAATCCTAAAAAATAAAATGTATCAGTTTCCACAAAAATATTGTGCAGCACGACTGTTTTCAACATTGATAATAATCAGAAATGTTTCTTGAGCAGCAAATCAGCATATTA